CATAAGTATAGTAGTAGTCATCAGACTAGATCGCAAGTGGAGAATAAAATTCAAGACAGTTGGGTCATGAATAAGGGTTTTCACAGTAAAAGATTTGAAAACACATTCTTTCCCACCGCTGTTAAGACTGGAATGAATTAAGTAAAGAAATGCGCCTATGTAATAGTTTAAAAACCTTCAGATCAAAGCTAAAAACAACTATAGACACTCTAAAGAGTATTCGCGTGTATGGCGTTAAACGCGCAGTAGACAAACTATACTACCAAATGCGTTGTGGTTTCTCGTCACTGAACAACTATTTGCATATCAAAACACCAGCACCCGATAAAAACTGTTGATGAGGTGAGAAAGAAAGAGTGAAGCACCATTTACTAGACTGTTCTCTCTATGCCAGTCAGCGAGCTAAACTTTTTAAATCCATAGAAGATTCGATACCTAGCGTGGATTGTTCTCTTAAGACTGCTACTTCTTCATAAGAAACTGTGCAAGGATCATTACTCTGTTATCTATCGTGCATGTATATGTTATACAGAGGAATCTTTAAGATTCGATATTTAAAAGTGTATACTTTTTCTTTGTTGTACCACACCCTTCCTCACTCAATTTATGTTTCGTTTTGTACTAACGTTTTTCTTGTTCTTTTTACTGCTTATTTGCTTCAACATTAGGCTTCCAGGAATGGTACAATGATTAGTCGATTTCATTCTGGATCCTACTAGCTTTCTTTTACTTTTCTTTTTACTTTTATGAAACAAAGTTTAAACAAACAAACAATTTTGTAGAAGTTCATATGACGTATTGGTGGGTGATACCAGAATATATCATGTTTGCTGTATGCTAACATACAAACGACGGTTCATCAAAATGACTGCAAAATATCAAGACAGACTTTAATTTATCTGCGCAGTTTAATTCTGTACTTAACGTCAGTAACTGATATTGAATATAATGTCTGTTTATCAAGTTGAATAATGCATTAAAAAGAGGAATGGTATTGATAGTTCAAGGTATGTCAAAATGGCAGACTTGAAAAAACCTTTTACTGCCAAAATAGAGAGCGCAACAATGGCGTAACATATGCAGACAGGTATACAATCGAGAATGAAAAGAGAAGAAATTGTAGACCTCTTGTTTGTAGCTATCCCATGCAATGAATGCATAAGTATAATAATACAGCAACAGGAAAAAAATAACATAGAAAATAAAAGAGTAATAAATTCTGAAACACTCTCTAAATCCAGCGAAAATTTCCGAATGTATACTTTAGATTACAAAAACCCTAATAAGATCGTATAAAGAAATGTAAGAAAAACAGTTGAAAATTTAGCGCAAAATTCAGCATAGAAAACACGTTTTTTCAGGAGTAATCAACCTTTCTCGAGGAAACTAATGAACTGGTTTTGGGATCTTTTTAGAAATGCCTCCCAAATTGAGGATTATCTTTTGTCGATTTTCAACAGTGATTTTGTTCAATTTAATGAAGAGAGGATCTTATGGTACAGAAAAGTGCAACAATGTGCGCATGATTCTATTAGTTTTGCAAATTCGCATAGTATCATGTATTTACCTGTAGCGTCGAAAACCCAAGTGTTGCAACAGCTGTTTCACAGGAATGAAGGCAGCTGGATGCTTGATTCATTGGATCAATAATGGACAAAGGTTATGAAATAAGAATTATGAAAATCTACTATGATTTGAGATAAACATGGATAAAATCGCTAGCAGATTGAAGCTCGGTCCATATTCTTACAGCTTAAAGAACATAATTAATTAGATAGGTAGAAATAGAGGTCTTTTCGGGTCAGAAATCTATCTCCATAACCCTCTGTCTGATCTGAGCCCAGGACACTTTTGGCTTGCAGTAATCATCTGTGGTTTGGAATTGACAGAGTCCAAAAATATGGCTTCAGAGAACAGATAAGGTGCATGAGTACACACACTTTGAGGTTATTAGTAAAAGTGTCATTACTTTTGAGTTAATAAAACGTTTTTCTCATTGTATGCTGAGAGATGGCAATCACTATATGCAGACTTGAATAATTAATTAACAATACTTTTGCTTTAATATGTTAAAAGTAGTTTTCAAAATCAATCTATAATAATAATTTCCGTTTCTTCCATCTCGATGCGCAAATGTTTTCATATTTTAAGACTATTTGAAACAAAAGGAAACGAAATAACTTTTTGTATTGTTACAATAACATCTCACACTTAAAAAATTTCGATTTTTTGGGTAAGTTTTTTTGTCGACAGTCGGTCCGACAAAAGAAATTAATCAGTACCGAAACAAAACTTTCGTGGTCAAAAAGAAAAAACTATGTATAAATGCATCTTTATTCTATACATTTCTCTATTCGACTTGTATCGCGTCAGTAGTCGCTTAGCATTTGTACAACTTACCTATCACGCGCAGTACATACCTAACAGTGGAACGAGTTTTATTTTAACTCAATCTATAACAACAATACAAGCATGCGCTCTCAGATGCCTGAATATAAATCATTGTCAAACAGCCCTCTGCAGTTTGGATCAAGGCACATGTGACCTGTATAGGGAATCTCTCTCTTGCGGTCAAATTGTGCCCGGAGCATTTGTTATACTAAGTTTTTCTGTTGCTGGTGCATCTGTTCAATGTGCAGGTCAGTTATTCTACACCTTTTTTGTTACTGTCTAACAGATTTAATGAATTGTTAAAATATAGCAAACGTTAGTGAAACGACACAAGTCACAACGGACGCAGTCACCACAGCGCCAAGTATAGTTAAAAAGTCTTTTCCTTCAATACTCCACTTTATTCCTTCCTGACATTATAGCTCAAGTAATATATGGCAACCTAGGAGATAGTACGAGTAATATAAGCAGTCTCGATAACCAGAGAACAGTTTTAAATTTGAATGATGTTGTTAATGAAAGCGGGTATCTCATGCAAGTATCAATTAATTTTGCTCAAGCACCTGTAGCGAATCAAGCTCTGCTCTGGTTCTACGTGTTAGCACCCATGACAAGAAATAACTCCCTTCGATCTTTCGTTCTTCTCGCACGATATCTTGTACCAAGTAACCAAATAGCGAGTGCGATAGGTGTTCAGACATTCTCGATTCCAAATGGAACAATGTATCTTAACAACAAACAATATCTGGGCGTCGGTTTTGGAAATTACTCGGGCAGGTCGTACAATATTTCAGGAAACAAGTTTTCTTTTAACAATTCAAATTTAACTAGTTTAATGGATACTCAGGGATATGCAGGCCCATTTAGTTTGACTGCCGGATCCGGAATAGCTTGTTCGTTTGTAATTGCACCAAGTATATATGGTTCGTAAACAGACTGACGTGTTCATGGCTTATAATAGTTTATTCTTGTTTTTCAGGCACAATAGCAACACAAAGTACGATTTACTTCTTCTACTACTTCTTGCGTCATCAGTCACTGTATTGCATAATGATAGTCCGGTAGAATGCATGTCAGAAACGAAGAGCGCAGTTATAGTTTAACCTGATCGATGTCTCAGGCCCACTTGAATGCCTTTATTCTTATGCTGTTTTTGTCTAGGATTCAATTCAACCTACGGTACTACCTATACAAACACTGGCACTACTGACTCTGATAGCGGTTATATTTGTTTTAATTCGATCGATGTGGCCAATACAAGCGGCTTCATTGTAGAAACGTCGATTAATTTTCTACCGGCATCCGTACCATCTCAAGCAAATATTATATTAGCCGTAATCGCCTGGACTGTTATTCCAAATCAGTTGTATATTACCTCTATGTATCAAATACCAAGTACAGCATTGTCAAATCAAACAGGAGTTCAAAGTATTTCGGTACCCTCATTGTACATTCAGGAGGGACAATATCTAAGTATCTGGTTCGCAAACAACGGTCTAAGTGGCAGTGCAGCCCGATCAAATGGAAGAAATCAGTACTGGAGTGCTACATCAAATATATTATACAATGTTCAAAATGATATTCCACTTACATTCACATCATTTGGCCCTGCAGGAAATGCCGTTCAATTTACTGTTAATACTATTGTAAACTGAAAGAATTTTAAGATTAATATTCAGTTTCGAAATAACCACTTTATCGTTCTTTTCGTTTGTGAAGTAAATATGTCTACCCCAGAGAAAGAATTTTTGACAATTTTTATAAGTTTCTGATAAGATTCTTACAAGATTCGTATATAAGATGTTGCACGGAAATGATAAGAAATTCACTGGTTCTGATAAGATTTTTATAAGAAACTTATAAGATATTCATAAGAAAGTAACAAACCGTCTTGTCACTTTCTTATGAATATCTTATAAGAATCTTATCAATTTCTTATCAATTTCATATGAACTTCTTATAAAATTCTTATCTAATTCTGACAAGAACACTGTCATGATTTTTGCAAGCCCGGCCCAAACTCTTGTGTTTCCTTATTCAATTTGCTGCTCTCTTCAGCTGTTTTTACCGTGCTTTAAAACCATTTCAATCTCTTATGCTTATTAAATAGATGCATTTTGCTAGAGATCAGTTTGGAAAGGCGGAATTTATACAAACGAGCGAGATGTCGTGCACTGTATTCTCCTGTCACACAATGTTTTTTTCGAACTTCATTCTTTTCCAATAGTCACGATAAAGTTGGAGAAGTACATTCGGTCTCCTGGCAGTGGACCATAAGGGCGAGTGTTTAGACTGCTCACTTGCGACTTAGATCTTATGGCTTGCAAAAATCACGACAGTTTTCGTCAGAATCAGATAAGAATTTTATAAGAAGTTCATATGAAATTGATAAGAAACTGATAAAATTCTTATAAGATATTCATAAGAAAGTGATAAGACGGTTTGTTACTTTCTTATGAATATCTTATAAGTTTCTTATAAAAATCTTATCAGAACCGGTGAATTTCTTATCGCTTCCGTGCAACATATTATATACGAATCTTGTAAAAATTTTATCAAAAACTGATAAGTATTTTATATATTTCTTGTGACATCCTTATATAAGAATCGATGTCTAGGATACTAAGTCCAGTTGATAACTGATTCAACAGAATAGCTTGTTTTAAAGAGATAATCAAAATCAGAGTAGAGTAAAAAAAAGGTCAACTTTAACATTAATGCATGACTCAATAAAGGTCCATGTTGACAGCTAATAACTCTAGACATAAATAGTGCATACTACAAAATCACAGAAGCGCTAGTTCTTTTCGGCCACACTTTTTCATGCGATACTCTCTACAGAAATGCGAAGACTAGACCTTCCCATGTGCTGAAAATCGCTTCATTTTTGTCGATTAATCGCGATGGTTGAAAAAATCGACGCTCAATCGCGATTCGGGAAAAAATGGTCACGATTAAGTGATAATTTTTTCGTGTATCGCGATTAATCGATGACTTTGTCAATCATCGCGATTAATCACGAAAATCATCAATTAATTGCGATTAATTGTTGATTTTAAGTGATTAAATGGTTGTTGTTATTCACCGTTTTCTTTTGCAATAA